AGTTACACCATCCTGAGGTAGGGGGCAGCACATAGTTACACCATCCTGAGGTAGGGGGCAGCACATGGTTACACCATCCTGAGGTAGGGGGCAGCACACTGTTACATCATCCTGAGGTAGGGGGCAGCACATGGTTACACAACAGCTCAAGGTAGGGGGCAGCACACGTACACAACAGCTGAAGGTAGAGGGACAGCACACATACACATGCAACATCTTACTTGCAGTAGGGCCAACACATGTTCGTAAAATTGTGGGGTAGGTGGCAGCACACGCTCTCAAAATCCTGAGGTAGGTGGCAGCACACGCTCTCAAAATTATGAGGTAGGTGGCAGGACACGCTATCAAAATCCTGAGGTAGGAGGTAGCGGCACTCACGATATCCTGAGGTAGGGGGCAGCACCCGCTCACAAAATCGTCGGGTAGGGAGCAGCACACGCTCACGATATCGTGAGCGTTAATTAGCAGTGCACACTCCAGACGTCTTGTTGCTATAATTGACATGTTCATCTGAGTGGGATAACCATGCACTCCCCCTTGCATAGATCGGTCAAGCTAGTTCAGTATATACGCTTTAAATGCATGTATTGATGACTTCGTTATTGATACGTGTGCTATTTTTACCTGATACAGGTTGAAGAAGGCACACCGTACTTCATTGTACATCCATTAAATGGCGTTACAGCGACCCTGCAAGATTTGGCGGTAGCGATGTCATGTCCGGTGTATGGACTACAGTGCACCGCAGATGCACCACTCACAAGTGTGCAAAATCTGGCATCCTTTTACATCCAAGTAAGCTGTCTGCCGATTGTTTAAATGGCCTGTACTGAGTCTCTGATAAATGCGTTGTGGTACAAGTGAATTTAACCTACAATACAGTAGCTGTCGTCTACGAAGCAGACCACCTGTGACCAATTCTGTCCCATGTCTCTCGCTTTCTCCATGTTTCTCTCTCTCAATTGTTCACTAATCTTCCTCTTCCTCTCTCTCTCTCTCTCTTTCAGAAAATCACTGACCACTGTCCGATGGGAGCCGTCCATCTAGGTGGCTACTCATTCGGCGCCTGCGTCGCCTTTGAGATGGCACTACAGCTGCAGCAAGCGCAGCGCACCGTCGGCCATCTTGTCCTGCTGGACGGCTCGCCAGTGGACATTGGCGCTATCGCAGGCAGGTACCGGGGGCGTGCACACAGATATGGTGTCGCCCACGAAGTGGAGTTCTTGTCGAGCGCAATGTGCAGCTTCATGATGCTCTTCATGACTGTCGACTTCATAAAGGTGTTTATACATAATTTCAAGAGTGCATAATAGAGAAGAGTATGGCACGGTTTTAACAGCGTTTTGCATAGTTTTCAACTAGTAAATATTCTATCAATATGTGAATAAATATATTCAAACTTTACCTTGTTTTCGTCTATGATTCTCCCTTAATCATATGACACCACCAATTTACCTGAAAATCGTATGTGTTTCGAGGTATGTGTATGAAGTACGAGTTCATTGAAAGACACTGTATATCGAACGATGAGAAGGTATGTCTCAAACAAAATAAAGTAATGATAAATTAATTGAACACATGCTAAAATGTATTGCTTAT